AATATGGTTTTAAAGTTGAAGTGCTAGAGCGTGAAGCTTTAGAAATTTTAGGTATGGGTTCATTTTTAGGCGTTGCACAAGGTAGCGAAACGCCTCCAAAATTCATTATCATGCAACACTTAAAAGGCGATAAATCGCAAAAACCAGTGGTGTTGGTGGGAAAAGGCATTACGTTTGATACTGGCGGTATTTCACTCAAGCCAGGGGCTGAGATGGATGAGATGAAGTACGACATGTGCGGTGCCGCAAGTGTGATAGGCACTTTTAAATCAATTGCCGAAATGGGTTTGAATTTAAATGTCATCGGTTTGATTCCCACATGTGAAAATATGCCAGATGGCCGCGCTACGAGACCAGGAGATGTATTAACAAGTATGTCTGGTTTAACCATTGAAGTGCTAAATACTGATGCCGAGGGCCGCTTAATTTTATGTGATGCGTTGACCTATGCAGAGCGGTTTGAGCCAAGTGCGGTAGTGGATATTGCAACGTTAACTGGCGCTTGCGTCATTGCTTTGGGTCATCATGCAACTGGCTTATTTAGCAATAATGATGCATTAGCCAAAGAATTATTGAGAGCGGGTGAAAGTGCTTTAGACCGTGCTTGGCATATGCCAATGTGGGACGATTACCAGCCACAATTAGACAGTAATTTTGCAGATATGGCTAACATTGGTGGGCGCGCAGCTGGAAGTATTACCGCGGCATGTTTTTTGTCGCGCTTTGCAGAGAAATTCGACTGGGCGCACTTAGATATTGCGGGCACTGCTTGGAAATCTGGCAAAGAAAAAGGCGGTACGGGTCGCCCAGTGCCGTTACTTACGGCATTTTTAGTAGCGCGTGCAGAAAAATAATATTTGGCCATGACGCGTGTCGAGTTTTATATCAATGTGCCTGATAAACTAGCTAAGTCGGTTGAGCTTTGCGAAAAAGCCGTTAATAAAGGTCGTCAATTGACGATTTTTACGCACGATGACGAGATGAGCCAAGCTTTACAAAGCCAACTTTGGCGTTTTTCTGGCACAAGCTTTTTAACAAATGCACTGCCGCATGAGCCAAATAGCGTGTTCTCGGCGATTATTTTGGATGCGTTAGGTGAGCAATTATTACAAGATGATGTGCTGATTAATTTGCAAAATCAACACCCGCCATTTTTTAGCCGTTTTAGACATTTAATTGAGATTGTCAGTGAAGATGAGGCTGATAAAATGGCGGCAAGAGTGCGGTATAAATTTTATAAAGATCGTGGCTATCAAATTAAAACCACAGATGTGACGAGGGAGGGGACATGAAAGAAGAAGAGATTCCAGTATTAACTGAGATTTTGAGTGCTGAGAAATCAAGCGCCAAGGGGATTCCACTGTCTCCCGCTTTGATTGCTGATATTGCAGATAAAATTCGCCCAATGCTAGAAATAGACATTGAAAAAAACGTCACACAAAAGCTTAAAGGCAAGATTCGTGAAGAAATTTTGCATGGCTTACATGCAGAGTCAGCCAATGTGCAAAAGGCCAACCAAGCCTATTTGGCAAGTGCTTTAAGCCAACTGTATGAAGAACAAGAGCAACGTTTTGCGCAAAGGTTTGAAAATTTACAAAATGAAAAAGAAGATGCCTTAAAAGACTTTGTCATTGAAGAAATGACAAAAGCGCAACGTTCTAGCCACGATTTTTTGTCTGAAACCATCAATAACGAATTAGAACAAACTCAAAAAACACTCGCGGCGCATATTAAGCAAACACTTAATCAAGGGATGGAGCAAGTTTCAACCGCTACACAACAAAACATTATGCAAAATATGGCGAACTTTGTGGATAAAACCAAAGCGGATTTGACCACTGAGTTACCGAGCTTGTTGCATGGAAGTGCTGATATTATTAAGACTGATCTTGCAAATACCTTAGTGCAAATGCAAACACAAGGGGTTGCACAGGTACAGTTTTATATAGAGCAGGCGATGCCAGCCATGGAGCAGCATTTAGCTGATAGTCTGCAAACTAAATTACAAGAGTTGCAAACGGTTGCGATTGAAAATGCAAATCATGAGATTCAAACTAAGGTGTCGCTATTTAATGAGGATATGGTATCAGAGCGCAAAGCGAATTTGCCAGTCGAGTTAGCACAAATATACCGAGAGTTGACGCAACAAACGCAATCTGAGCTCAATGTGTTTTTAGATGCGCTGCAAGTGCAATCTCAGCAACAGTTAGAGCTCAGGTTAAGTGAAACTTATCCTGCTTTGTATCAAGGTTTGTCAGATGAGTTGAGTGAATCATTACGAACTGATTACATGACCATGGCCGAAGACGCAAAAAATGAATTTAAACGTGGCTTGAGTACGGAGTTGCCAACTGTAGAAGAAGCGCTTAATAACAAAGTACACGAAATACTAGATACAGAAGTACCCCGCATAGAGCAAGCGTTGCGCGCAACTTTAATTTCAGAAATTGAAAAATTGGTCGAGTCTGTGCGCCTGGTTTTTCCCAGAGTATAACGCTTAAAAATCGCCCAAGAGATTTTTGTGCCTCTGCAAGCCTCATGGATACTGGCTTACAGAGGTTCTCGAATGAAGATACTGTTTTTTTAACTAATTTTAAGCGTTACTGATGAGTGTCTGGTAGGCGTCTGCCTTGAGTAATTGATCTGCAAAATCTGCTACATTGGGCTTAAATTTAAATATCCAAGTGTCATAAGGTTTGTCGTTGATGAGCTCTGGTGCATCCAAGGCATTTTGGTTAATTTCCACCACCACGCCATCTACCAGCGCGTGTAAATCCGAGCCAGTTTTAACCGATTCCACCAAGCCGCACGGCTTGCCTGCTTCTAGCACAGAGCCAACAGCGGGTGAGTCAACAAACACAATATCGCCCAATAAATCTTGTGCGTAATCAGTAATACCAGCAAGCCATACGCCATCAGCGTCTAATTTGGTCCATAAATGTTCACTGCTGTAAAGCAGATGATTTGGAATACGCATACCTAAACCCTAAAGTAATCTTAAAAAATGCCGTTTATTGTAATCTGAAACCGTAAAAAATACGTTAATATCTATCTTGAGTTGCTGAAAATACGTTTTATTTTAGCTAATTGTAAAATTTGTTGCATATTTTAGGTGACAAATTTAAAGTTTATATGTAGCATTGATACGTAACGCTATGTAATGTAATCATTATTAGGTTTTATATGCGCAAATTATTCCTTATTTCACTTGCTTTGATGCTGAGCCTAGGCTCAGCAATGACGCATGCGAAAACGCAGAAAAAAGTGACTTCTGCTAAATACACGCTGAATAAAAACTTAAACGGTAAATATAAACTCGCTAAATTTAAACCTAGCGTAAAAAAATCTACAAAAATTAAAGCAGCGCACACCACAAAAATGCGCGTAAAACTGCGCAAGCAAACGCAACCAGTGTATGTGCAGCCCCAATTTGTTGAAGATTATGATGGCAGCGGCCCGTTAGAGTTGGCCTCAACTAAAGCATTGGTCATCAACCAGCAAACTGGCGAAGTGATTTACGCCAAAAATACTAAATTATCTACCCCAATTGCTTCTGTCACCAAGCTGATGACAGCCATGGTGATGCTGGACGCGGAATTGCCCATGGAAGAGGTGGTTTACATCTCAGAAGAAGATATTGATTACTTAAAAGGTACAAGTTCGCGCTTAAGTGTTGGCACCTCACTTACCCGTGGAGAATTATTGCAGCTGGCGCTGATGTCTTCAGAAAACCGTGCTGCTTCGGCCATTGCGCGTAACTACCCTGGTGGTTACGAAGCTTTTATACGCGCCATGAATCGCAAAGCCACTTCTATTGGCATGCGTGCCACCGCATTTTATGACCCAACGGGTTTGGATAGCAATAATGTTTCAACGGCAGAAGATTTAGCAAAATTGGTGAATGCAGCTTATCAGTATGAGGAAATTCGCCTCGCTACGACATCTGCTTCACAAGAATTT